TCCCTGGTCCAGTCCGCCACGTCTCCGATGTGCAAAGCTGGGGCAGCCGCCTCGCATGCCGAGACCACCTTCTCCAGCTTCGCAAGGGCCTCGCGCATCTCGTGCTGGTCTCGCTGGATGCGCGAGACGCCACGGTCGAGGTCCTGCAGGTGCTGGTCGATCTGCGCGTTCTTGGCGGCCTGGCGCTCGCCGAAGACGCGGAGAGCAGCAGTGGTGGTCGCGGCGATGTTGGCAGACATCTTGTTGTTGGCGTCGGAGACATAGCCGACGATGGAGTCGCGCATAGCCCCCAAGATCTCCTCCAGCTCCGAGTGCAGGACGGGCCCGTCTGCCGCCGCAGCAGGAGCCACAGCAGGCCGAGGAGAGTCATGAGCGCGGTGGTAATGAGCTCTGTGACGGCCGCTGCTGCGAGGTGTCCGAGGGGTCGCTGGCGGAGTGGCAGCGAGCGGCGTGGCCGTGCCCTCGCAGTCGCTCCCGCGAGCACGCCAGTGGTCGGCGCTGGCAGACTGGAAGGGGTCGCCCGTGCCTGCGCTGCGGCTGCGGTCATCGTCTTCACGAGGGCTGCCGCGTCGACGCTGGCTAGCACCAGAGCCACCAGAAGCTTTGCCCGCCTTGCCAGGCCGCCGAGAGAGAGCGGCAGTGCCATCGGGCATCCCACCCGTAGGGGTGAAGCGGGTAGAGAACGTGGGCGTGGAAGGCTGGAGCCCAGAAGGGCAGCACGGGTCACGATTAGTGAATGAATCTTTGGCCTCAAAGCGCGAACCCCCTCGCGCTCATCAGTCGCCGACCGAAGCCGACTCGCGGTCGTCGGGCGGTTCGTAGCCTTGAGCCAACATGGCTACGGACACGTGCCTCTTTGTATATATGTATATATACACATATTATGCAAACATACATAAACATGTACATCTGTGTAACACTCGGCACTGCCGGGGACCACCGCCGAAAGTCCGGGATGAGGATCGACCTCCCTGGCCGGTGCCACCCCGTCGCAAAGGAAGGAACACGGGGTGGATCGAGGCTCGAGGCATGAGACTCCTAGTTCTTGGGCGCTCTCCGCCTCCTCTGGGCCTTCAGGAAGCTCCTCGTCGACGCAGCTGGGACCACTCTCGAACTTCTGGCCAGACGCAACCCCAGCTGGGTCTCAACGATCTCCGAGCCTATCCAGGGGGGGAAAAGGAGGCCTGGGACAGGCCCCGTGAAGGCCCCAAGAAACTTACATAAGACCACGAAGAACCTCAAAACAATCCCCTACAAGGCCCCCCCTTGAACCCCACACGCTACGTAGGGCAGGCAGAAAGCCCAAGATTGCCCAGGGATCGCGCGCGTTCCGCGAATTTTGTCTTTCACTCTTGCTGCTACCCCAAGGGGTCGGCGGTGCGGCGTAAGCCAATGAACCACGAGGTCGGGGGTCTGGGAACATCGGGGATGGACAGAGCCCCCTTTAGAAAAACGTGGTTTGATGAGAACGACCTCGGGCCCAAACCTGGCGGGAGCAAGCATGGGAAATGACGGCAGCGGCGCCCCCTCGAGAACCGAAAACGGACAAATCACTAATCGACGTGTCAGGGCGGGTGGCTGGTCGGCAGCGCGCCCAGGGAGAAGGGCAACGTGCGCGGACCTACTCAGCAGGCTCTGAAGGCCTGTGGCCCTCCGAGAGGCTCTCCATGGCCTTCTCCGAAGCCAGAGGGAGGAGGAGGAGGAGAAGGAGGAGGAGGAGGAGAAGGAGGAGGAGGAGGAGGCGGAGGAGGAGGAGGGAGGGCTTCTCAGAAGGCTGGAGGGCTTCTCACGAGCCCTGCGCCGAAATGGTTGACTGGTGCGGAGGGCACAGTCACGGATAGGAGAAGGAAGGAGAGGGAGGAGGAAAGAGGAGGAAGGAAGAGGAAGGAGGAGGAGACGCGGGGCGCTGTCTCTTCAAAGCGAGGGCCCAACGCCACAGGATGGTTGGGACACATCGCGACACGCTCGGCCTCTGGCGGCCCCTAACTGGGCCCAAAGACCGTCCAAGACCGACTTGGAATGACAAACGAACTCGGACAGAGCGTAAACTCACGTCCTCCTCCTCCTCCTCCTCCACCTCCTCCTCCTCCTCCCCTCCTCCTCCTCCTCCTCCTCCTCCTCCTCCTCCTCCCTCCCCCTCCCTCCCTCCCTCCCTCCCTCCTCCTCCCTCCCTCCTCCCTCCTCCTCCCTCCTCCTCCTCCTCCTCCTCCTCCTCCTCCTCTCCTCCTCCTCCCCCTCCTGCTCCTCCTGCTCCTCCTCCTCCTCCTCCTCCTCCTCCTCCTCCTCCTCCTCCTCCTCCTCCCCCTCCCCCTGTATGACACCAGAACGCCTGCCAGGCCACAGCTGTGAACAGGGGTTGCCCAGACGCCGGCCACCAGGCCTTCCTGCCGTGCCCCGAGATCCTCCAGATAGCTCTCGAGCCGCTGGCGATGGCGACGCGAAGAAAAGACACTCGAACCGCTCGCGATGCGACGCGAATAAAACTCAGCGAGCGAAGAAAAGTATAAAATAAACTTTTTCGCCGTCGGGGACACCTGCCCCTGGGCGGCTGGAAAGTTTATACCCCTACGGTGCCACCGTAAGGGTATAAACTTTCCAGCCGCCCTGGGGCAGGTGTCCCCGACGGCGAAAAAATTATGTTATACCGTTATTCGCCTCGTTTTCTCCACCTCGGCGTCGCCGATGTAGCGCGATGCTCTGGCCCCGTCTGGACGGCGTCCAGTGAGATAGCCTAGACAGCTCTCGTGCCGCTGGCGATGCGATGCGATGAAACACACGCTTCCAGGGAAGGGGTCCAGAACTCTGTCGGCTACACGCACGGGTGACCCTACGCAAGAGTGCCCCTTTGGTGCGCGACTTCGGGAGAGGCGCGGGGGAGCCAAACCCAAGCGCGCAGGACGCTACTATCGGATCGCACTCAAATGTCTGGAGAACCCAGTGTGCCCGCACCAAAAGTCACTCCAGCGAAAGGTCACTCTTACGTGTAGCCGATTCTGTCCCATGCCGTGGAGGAAACCACGACGGCGGGAAACTGCGGATGGCCCAGAGAAGGGGCCGGTCCACAGCGAGGCCCCGCGGGCCTCTCCACGGCCGGCACAGCTGCAGGGAGGGAGATTGAAAAGGAGGAGGAGGAGGAGGAGGAGGAGGAGGAGGCGGAGGGGGAGGAAGACACAGAAGGAGGCGGAGCAGGAAGAGGAGGAGGAGGGAGAGAGAGGAGGAGGAGGAGGAGGAGGAGGCGGAGGGGGAGGAAGACACAGAAGGAGGCGGAGCAGGAAGAGGAGGAGGAGGAGGAGGAGGAGGAGGAGGACGCAGACCTCCTCGAACGCGCGGTCCTCCACGGCGAGTAATTACAGCGACGCAGACCTCCTCGAACGCGCGGTCCTCCACGGCGAGTAATTACAGCGACGGAGCCAGCCGCCACTGGATCGATGTTTCGGTCCGTCAGTCACCCGGCAGCCGAGGCCGCGGTGCAGGCGGAGGGGCGCGGGCCTGGCGAGGCCGCCAGGAGGGGCGAGCGCAAGAAGCACGCCAGGTCACCGGGGGCCAGACTGACGCCATTCGTGGTGGGCACCCCTGGCGCCTGGGCGGGGAAGCCCGACCATGGCTTCAGCGGCAGGTGCGCACCCTGCCAGAGGACCAGCAGCTCGGCGAGCCGGCTCGGGCCTACGAGGTCGTCAGTTGTGCCGCGTAGGCGCAGCTGGCGCTGCAGCTCCGCCGAGCAGCCGGGCTGGCCTGACGCTGCGGGGAGCAGCCTGCCCAGGGGGCGGCGCCAGGCTGACTGCTGGCCCGGGGGCAGGCCGCAAGCTGAGAAGGGCGCGCGCCGCGCGCAGCACCCCTGCCTGACAGCCTCCTCCCCCTCTTCCCCTCCCCCTCCCCTCACCTTTCCCGCTCCTTGCCTCTGGCGGTCGCACGAGCGCCTAACAGGGGGTGCTGGTGGAGCAGGGTCCCCGGCCGTGCGTCCGTCGCCTCCGCCTCCTGGTTCTCTCCCGGCTCCTCCTCCTCCTCCTCCTCCTCCTCCTCCTCCTCCTGCTCCTCCTCCTCCTCCTCCTGCTCCTCCTCCTGCTCCTGCTCCTCCTCCTCTTCCTCCTCCTCCTCCTCCTCCTCCTCCTCGTCCTCCTCCTCCTGTTTGCTCCTGCCAGAGCGCCCGTTCCGTTAAAGGCGGACGGAGAGGTGCCCGCGTGTTGCCAGGCTCCGAAGGGAGGCTGGGGTCCGGCGGGATTGCTGCCGTGGCGTGGCGGCCCCAAAGCCCGGGGTCCCCCATTGCGGCGGGGGTGGGGACCCACTCGGGTGCCCCCGGGCCAGAGGTGAAGGAGGAGGAGGATGAGGGGGAGCCACAGTGTCGATGGAGGGAGGAGGAGGAGGAGGAGGAGGAGGAGGAGGAGGAGGAGGAGGAAAAGGAGGAGGAGGAGGAGGAGGAGGAGGAGGAGGAGCAGGAGGATGATCGAGCATCGAGGGTCGAGCTTCTTAGCCATTTAGGGCCCTGCCTGAAACTCTGGAGACCCCTGGAGACCTCCGAGGACCTCTGGGGGTCCTGCAGGGAGAGGGGCGGAGGAAAAACCGAGGAGCACTTTTGGAGGGCGGAGCGGAAGGGTGGTAAGTGCCGAAGGGAGGGCGGAAGGGCGAGGTGAGAAGGAAGCGGGGAGAGGGGTTGGGGGGAGGTGCGCTCGGCAACCTGGTGGCTATTCGCGAAGCCCTTGATGATGGTGGAGTACATGACTGTGTTCGCCTGGACTTTCACCTTCGCGTTCCCCCATCATCATCCTCCTCCTTTTCACCACCCCTTCGCCTCCTCCTCCTCCTCCGCCTCCTCCTCCTCCTGCAGTTATTATTACTCCTCCTCCTCCTCCTCCTCCTCCTCCTCCTCCTCCTCCTCCTCCTCCTCCTCCTCCTCCTCCTCCTCCTCCTCCTCCTCCTCCCCCCCCTCCCGTGGCCACTTTGGCTCAAGCGTTCGCACGCCCGGTGCTCGGCGCGCCGCCCGTGGGATGGCGCCCGCCCCGCGCCTGGCCAGAGGGGCTCTGGATCCCGCCGTCGCGGCCCGCCCCGTCGAGGCGGCCGTGCGCGGGGCGCCTGGCGCGCCGAGGCGCACAGTTAGGGAGCCCACAAAGGACGTACGCGCCCAGCTATGTACATGAACACGGCCCCTCGATCCGCGAGACCGGCCGCGTTATACGAACATTTGCGCAATGCGTACTCTCGAAACCAGCGTGGATTCATGTACATGTACGTCCTTAGTTCGCTCCTGAACAGTCGCGGCCGTAGCGAGGTCGGCAGCGTCGGCGGCGGCGTTCGCCGACGCGGCACCGCCCCCGCCCGACGCCGCCGCTGGCGCCGCAGCTCGAACAACAAGTCTGCGCCTGTGCTGCTGCCGGGCGGCGGCGGCACCGCCGCCGGCGCCGCGAAGGCGCGACGGGCGGCCGCCACGGCGGACGCTGACTCGTCGTCGGCGGCGACGGCCTCCTCTGTGGTGGTGGCTGGGGCTGAAGCGGCTGCTGGTGTTGCCGCCGCGGCGGCGGCCGACGACGATGACGTGATGCACGGCGTGGCCCTCGGCCTGGTGCGCCCGCCCTCTCCGCCCCGGGGCCCCCAGGGGTCCTCGGAGGCCTCCCGGAATCTCCCGGGCTCCAGGAAGAGCCAGCCCTACACGGCCAAGAAGCTCGACCCTCAATGCTCGATGCTCCTCCTTCTCCTCCTCCTCCTCCTACTTTGCCTCCTTCTCCTCCTCCTCCTCATCCTCATCCTCATCCTCATCATCCTCATCCTCATCCTCATCCTCATCATCATCATCATCATCATCATCATCATCATCATCATCATCAGCATCATCATCATCATCAGCATCATCATCATCATCATCACCATCATCACCATCATCAACATCACCACCATCATCACCATCATCACCGTATTCATGACCCCGTTTGATCTGTTCATACGACTGCTTGCGGTGAACGGGTGGGCTTACTTTAACCCGTATTTGCCAGCTTTAGAGCGAGTTGGTTTTGGGTGAACCAAAAAACCTGCAGATCGGAACACGGAAGACAAGATCGGGTCATTACCGTGGAGAACATGACACAGCCTGCGCTTTTTCCCGACTGCTGCTTGCGGTGAACGAGCACGCTCAAGTCAAACCAGATCTGCTCACTTCCAGAACACCCGCGATCAGCACTGGCGTGGCGAATTATCTGGACGAATCCTTAAATTGATTTGGATAAACCACCCCCGTGGGGGCCGAAATGAAGGGCAGAGAAGAGAAGACAGACCAAACATCGCGCAATCGCAAGAGGCAAACAACGATAGGTTGGGATAGCGCGAGGCACGCCTTCTCGTGGTCAACCTGTGTATGTCTTGTCAAATGTCCTCTTCAGCATGTAGGCCTATGAGGTTACCCTCATAAGATACATGTCCCTCTCACACCATTCCTAGCATTGACCAATGCGATGAACTTGAAATTGAAAAGGTATAACCTGGTCCGAGCTCTCCAAAGTGCACCGAAAGCACAGTCATCTACTTAGGTGGTGCGCGAAGGCAAGCCACCCGATGCTCAACAAGCTGCCGCCCACAAGAGCAAACAGGTCTCCCCCGGCCAATGACAGATCCTGCTCCTCCCCGTCCTCCTCGTCTTCCTCCTCGTCTTCCTCCTCCTCCTCCTCCTCCTCCTCCTCCTCCTCCTCCTCCTCCTCTTCCTCCTCCATCCCCGTTCACGCTCGCGTTCCCTCCCTCGAAATGCAGCTGCCGTCGCCCTCCGTTCCCCCGCCTTCCACTTGTTGAAGAGCACCACGGCGTCGTTCACCATTCCGTTGCACACGAGCGCGTCGAGCATGCAACCCAGCACGATGTCGTTGGGGTCCATGCCGCGCACCTCCTGAGCGGAGAGGGGACGGGGAGGAGAGGAGTGCAGCCTGGTTGTGTCGGGTCCCGATGGTGAAACTTGGGTATGGACGTTGTCTGTTCAGCGTTGCCCTCGATGTGCCCAGCAACTGCTTCTCCCCCACGCGAGCTTCACCCAGGCTGAAGGGGCAACGTCAACGGAGGGCCAGGTCGAAAAACGAGATCCGTGCACAAGGAGGACAGCAAGGAGGAGGAAAACGATCGGCGGCAACAGCAGCAGCAGCAGCAGCAGCAGCAGCAGCAGCAAGTGGAGGATTCCGTTGGGCACCGCGTCGCTCACCTCCTACCACAAGGCCAGGGGGGAGAAGCCCGTGAAACCCGCTCGGCGTTCTTCGGGCCGGGCGAAAGGAGGGGATAGCAAAGGGGGGGGGTGAGAATCAGCTCACGTAGCTGATTTTCCCGGCGCCTCCTGGCGCCGGAAGCGGCTATGTATCGAGGAATGGGCCCCTCGGTGGGGCCGAAACCAGCTGCATGCGGCAAATTTCGTAACCCCCTTTCCCAATCCCCCCCTGTCGTCCCGCCCGAGTTCTGGCCTTCGCCCCACAGGGCGCAGAAGAGGCGGAGGCAGCGCCACCTGGACACACACCTGCAACCGCGCACGAACGCGCGCTGCCAAAAACTCGAACCTGCAGTGGCCCACAAGGAATCGCCAAGGCTTCTCCACCAAGACCTGGTGGTCGTTTCTCCCGGCGAGTCCGAGGGCGCGGCCGCCGAAGGCGACCTCAGGACGCCGCTTCGTGGCCACGCGCTGGGCCACGGCGCCGAGCTCGGGATCCCAGCCCTCACACGATCGAGGCCACGCGAACAAAATAGCCACCTGCGATCCGCACTCCCCGCGGAGCTGGCCCGCAAATGTCGACAGACCATCGTGCCGCGCACGCACGCCGCGGGACCCCCCGCTCCCGACCGCTCGGGCCCAGCGCGCCCAGCGAGGGGAGCTCCGGAACGCATGCCCGCCCCGCGAGCGCAGACGAGGCAGAAGCCTGTGCCGAACCCCTGGGGGTTGCTCTCAGCGCCGTCGTCGCACCTCAGCAGCACACTGGAGCTGATGCAATCGCGCCCGCGCGGGGTGAAAAGTTGACCGTGCGCTGTCGCACGCCTGGCTGGTGCGCTCGGCTCCACCTCTGGGATTGTCTGGTGTGCTTGGTCCACCCGCTTTCTCCCAGACGCCGAGGCCTTCGTCGAAGGAGGCACGGTCTGAGCCCTCGGCGCCGGCGCCGATTGCCTTCTGCTGTCAATCTCGAGGCCTGCCGACATCGCGGCGGGAGGCCCCTCGGGCTGCAGCCTGATTTGGCGGCGCGCACAAGGGGGTGGGGGGAGGGGGAAAGCTTCTTAGAAGCAGGCTGCTTCTTAGAAGGCGCCGGCCTTACATCTATAGATAAGGGCCCGCGCCTTCTAAGAAGCAGGGGTGCTTCTAAGAAGCCCTCCCCCCTCCCCCCACCCCCCTCTGCGCGTGGCAGCCTGATGGCGGGGCGGCCCGCGTTCCTGGACACGAGCACATTCACTCAGCGACCGACGCCGACCTTGGCTGGCGGAGCGAGTTTTGCTTCCTGTGAGAGAGCCGGGCGCCCGGCTTCCCCCGCGACGCTGAGAAATGCCGCGCACGGCCCCCCCGGGCGGGCCCGAGACGAGAGAGGTCGTCCTCCTGGGTAGTCGAAGCCAATCTGGCAGGCCCAATCTGGCAAACGGGGGCAATCTGGCGAGGGAGCCAGCGCGAATCCAGTCTGGCGAATAACCCAAATCATCCAGTTTGGCCGGGCCAGATTGGCCCTTGGGGCCCAACCCAGTCTGACAGTCTGGCCTTCGACTACCCAGTCCTCGCTTTTCTCGGGGATCTGGTCGGCAAAATCCACACTCGCGAACAGGAGGCGAGTGATGTTATACGTACCGGGCCTGGCCGGCCACGTGCGAGCCGCGTCGATGACGGCCAAGCCTGGGACTCCCGCGCGTCGGTCGTTGGAGCAATTGGTCGAAGGGGGCGTCGGCCGAGGAGATCCACCGTTTCATGGGAAATGCTTGGGCCGATTTGTTCGCAAAGCTCGGAGCTAGGGACGTCGCTGTCGCACAGGTCGCGGTCGATGCCCTCCAGCGTTCTCTCAAAGAGTGCAAATGTACATTTGAGTTCCTGTCGAGGGCGGCGCAGTTGGTTTGTGCTCGTCCTGAGGCTCAGGACTCGAACCCTCCTCCGCCCAAACCGGTGCCAGAGAGGCGCGATGTGCTCGTCCTTATCGCCCATGACCCCGTCCCCCTGTCTCCTGGTTCGTCTGCGTTGCAGTGTAGACGTTGCTTGGCCGTGGCTAGGTTCTCTGCCAGTGTGAAGGCGCTTTTGAAGCCAAGGGCCACGTGTGACCTTTGTGGGCCCCAGAAACGGCAGGGCTGTTTTTCACCGTTTCCAAAAAAATGCCCATTGAAAAAGAAAACGGCAAAAAAACGGCGACCGGAAACGGCAAAAAAACGGCTCCAGCATCGGAACTGGAGCCGGAACCGGTCAAAAAACGGCGACGGAACCGGTAACAAAACGGCGTCGGAACCACCAAAAAAACGGCAGAACGGAACCGGTAAAAAAACGGCCCTGTCGTTTCCAGGGCCCACTAAGCGTGTGACCCATCGCCCATGCTTCAGGCTCTCGCCCCAGCTGTTGAGCGGCACGGGTGGCCTGCCCAAGGGGACGGGGAGGCTGGGGCGGTGGGGCCTGGGACCCTCTTCGAGTGTGATGGCCATAGGGTCCAGCGCTCGGGGCCATGTCTACTGTGTGTTCGGTGTGGGGCTCGTGTGGCCATCGGTTCTCCCAAAATCGATGCCCTTGGGGATGTCTGCCCCTCGCGCCCCCCGAACACCGCGCCTGCCGTAGAGCCAGGACTGGATCGTCGACTGGCGGCACCCAGCAAATGGAGCTAAGCTTTAGTTCAATTCGTTGGGTCTGTGTGGCGTGTGATGGTGGTCTGACCTTGAACGCAGCACCACTTACCTCTCAAGTCGTGCTTCCATCTTCCCTTTAGCTCAGAGGTGCCTTCTTGCTCGAATGACATCATTTTCTATGCTGCGTCCTGCGTCCTCCTCCGCCGTGCCCTGAGGCCTTGCCTGTGCTCAATAGCCAGCACGTGTTTGATGACTCGGGGCGTCGGTGCCGTCGGTGTCGAGGCTGACTCGGGGTGTCGGGGGTCCTCGTCGATCTCGAGGCTGAGGCAGTGGCATGCCTCCCCGTGTTTCAAGCTTGTGGCCATAGATGGGTCCCTTTGGGTTCTCCCCAGGGGGGTAGAGCCGCACCTCGCGGGGGGGGGGCATGCCACGCACAAGGTGAGGTATAACCAAGATGTCAATGTTTGGTTTTGCGCGTCCTGTGGAATAATCCGAGATTAGCAGCTTCTGGGATTGGACAAGATGTGCGTGGCAAAGGACACGAGCTGTCCATCTCGATAGACTTCAGAGAGATGTGTGGCCTAAGGTATAATACCTCAGAGAAGGCCAGGCGAGCCCAGAAAGGGCCTCGCGTGTTGAGGTTGTTGTTTTGGACGCTGTTCTGGGACTCTTACTCTTACTCGTATGCTTACTCATACTCTTACTCATGTTCTTACTATTACTCTTACTCTTACTCTTACTATGAATATGAATAGTACTCTTACTCTTACTCGTACTCATAAACTGATTCCTCCTCTTACTCGTATTCTTACTCTTACTCTGACTCCTTCTCCTCCTCCTGCTACTACTACTCCTCCTCCTCCATCTCCTCTTCCTCCTCCTTCTCCTCCTCCTCCTCATGCTCCTCCTCCTCCGCCGCCGCCGCTGCCGCCGCCGCCTCCGCCTCCGTCTCCGCCTCCGCCTCCTCCTCCTCCTCCTCCTATCCCATACTTCGTCTCGCAAAGATGAGACTTGTCGGAGCTACCACTTACAGTTGTCTCATATAGCTGCCGACCCTAAAGGACACACATGTTATGTTGCTCGTCAAACACGGAGTTTGAATTTCATCTCGATGTGGCTGCGGCAAGTACAGTGAATCAATTGTGAACAAGCTCCAAGAGAGCTGTATTGGTTTCAGAAGGGTGGGTGACATGACTCAGTGGAGACTCCTCTGCGCGGGCAAGCACCCTAAGTCCTCTTTCAAGGCCCAGACCCTCTTCCAGAGCCCACCCCTGAGGCTCGTCGACCTCATTGCCGCTGAAGCAGTCAGAATTGAGCAAGCCCGGTCCTTACAGCAGGACGCAGGGCCTGAGCGGAGCTAACCTGCTGCGCTCTCCAACCACGTGCTGATTCTCCTATCCCACTCCCCCCCCATCAGCCCTCCTCCTCCTCCTCCTCCTCCTCCTCCTCCTCCTCCTCCTCCACCTCCTCCTCCACTCCTCCTCCTCCTCCTCCTCCTCCTCCTCCTCCTCCTCCTCCTCCTCCTCCTCCTCCTCCTCCTCCTCCTCCTCCTCCTCCTCCTCCTCCTCCCCTCCTCCTCCTCCTCCTCCTCTCCCTCCTCTTCCTCCTCATCCTCCTTCTTCTCCTCCTCCTCCTCCTCCTCCTCCTCCCTCTTTCTCTTTCTCCTCCTCCTCCTCCCTCCTCCTCCTCCTCCTCCTCCTCCTCCTCCTCCCTCCACCGCCGCAGCGCCGCCGCCGCCGCCGCCGCCGCCTCCGTCTCCGCCTCCGTCTCCGCCTCCGCCTCCGCCTCCGCCTCCGCCCCCTCCCCCTCCCCATCCTCCTCCTCCTTCTCCTCATCCACCTCCTCCTCCTCCTCCACCTCCGCCTCCTCCTCCTCCTCCTGCTCCTCCTCATCCACCTTCTCCTCCCCCTCCTCGTCATCCTTCATCTCCTCCTCCTCCTCCTCCTCCTCCTCCTCCTCCTCCGCCTCCTCCTCCGCCTCCTCCTCCTCCTTCTCCTCCTCCTCCTCCTCTTCCTCCTCCTCCTCCTCGCCCTCCACCGCCCCTCCTCCTCCATCATTCCTCCATCCTCCCCCCCTCCTCCTCAAAGCCGCGGGCGGGGTTTCCTCCATCTCTCGCCAGAACGCCTGGCACCTCGGCCGCGAGGGCAGCAGGACGCAGGCGCGCCCGAGATGGGTGGGGGGCGCGGCGAGCGGCGGCCGGCGCGCGAGGCGCGCGGGCGCCCCGCCTTGGCGGCTCTCCTGGCGCCCCAGCGGCCCTCGGCAGCGCTCCACCCGAACATGCTCGTCGGGTCGGCCGACGCGCTCCGCACTGCGCCCGAAGCCCTCACGGCTCAGTCTCCCATCTGAGCTGTGCGAGGTCTGAGCTCTCGTTGAGCTCAGGCGGGGACCCGTGAAGGAGGAATTCGGGCGCAGGGCAAAACTAGCGAGCAGAACCTCGGTTGGATCGGCGGCGCCTGCAGTCAAGCTACGGCAGGGCCGCTGCCGAGCGAAACAGGCACGGTGGCGGAAGGAAAGGCGGGAGTCAGGGGGGGAGAGAGCCGCACACTGGAGCGCCCTCACAGCCGGAAGCATTTCGGGCTGTGCCACAGCAGGCTCAAATACTCGACCGTCGCCGGGGGGGCTCTGACCGTTCTTGTCGGCTTCCGGCGGCCCACGCCTGGCCCTGCGGCTGTCAGAAAACTGCGCAGGGCGAAGAACCAGCGGGAGCAGGTCGGGACTTCCAGGGACCCCCCAATCAAAAAATCACGACGCCGGATGTCTGGGCAGCAGGACAAGGGCCAACGACACGTAGGTCCCCGAATCTGGGAGAGCGAGCGCAAGCACGCTGGTGACGCGGATGGGCCGGAGCCCTCAGTGATCACAGCCGAGGTCGGCGCGGGGGGGTAAGGGAGAGGGATGCATGGCGACCCAAACCCGAACTCTGTGGAACTTTCGACTGGACAGCAAGCTTGGGGACCAGGTCGAGGAGGTGCAACGGGGGGCGCCCATGCCCGATTGCATGATTCGAACCCCCCTTCTTTCCTGAGAGGCGGGTATCCCATTCTAGGTTGCCTCGGGAGACAAGGAAACAGAGAGATCCTCCTCCTCCTCCTCCTCCTCCTCCTCCTCCTCCTCCTCCTCCCCCTCCTCCTCCTCCTCCTCCTCCTCCTCCTCCGCCTCTTCCTCCTCGAGAGTGACTACCTACCAGACCACCCCAACCCAACCCGAAAACACAAATTTCGGGTGGGGGGGCATGCGGGTTCTGTCTGTGTTTTGCCCAATGTTCCAGGACACCCGCCCAGATGCAACGTCCATCGCGCGACACTTCGAGCCTAAGCGCGTTTCGCGCTATCCGCCAGTGCTTTTCGTCCAGGAGTGCGGCTGAAAATCCGACGCGGATTCCAGAAACCCTGCAGAAACCCGGCGCCGACAGAACCGCCGAGAACGAGGTGGTGATACTGTAAGACCATTCAGGTTCCACGAGGACCCTCCCAAGGCACTCGTGGAGCCTCCTTGGGCGTCGGACAAAGAGTCGGGACCCCGACCTGAGGAACCAAACCTCAAACCTTATACCCAAAGTACGTGTCGGGCCCCTCGTAGGGGTTCTCTTGAGATCTTCGTGGGGCCCTCTTGATGCTTCTCGGCTAACAGGTAACTCGCCGTAACTGCTGAGCGGCCCGCTGCGCCCTCCAGGACGCAGACTGACTGGACAGAGCAGACACTCATGAATGAAGCCGTGTGAATGGGAAACGAATCCAGCTCACGAGTTCGCTAATGATTCGTTGACGTTCGAAGTACGGGCCAGAATCCCCCGAACCATCCGCACCTGTACCAATGATATGCTTGCAATATGCGGGAAGTTTGTTATGAACGCTCCTATATGATGTCTAGCATGATGAGGGTGGCGATGGTAATGGATTGTCCTGCTACGCAGCCTAGTACTACGCGAGGTGCGTCTGGCATGCCGTTTCGACACGCACGCCGTTGCGATGCCGATCGCGCCAGAAGACACCCCGTGAATATTCGAGTGAGACACAGGAACTGGCAAGCACTCTGGCGCATGGCGGGCGGAACGTGCCAGTGCAGAGCCCTTCCGTGCCCATCGCCACTTGCTCCGTAACAGCGTTCCCGACCAGCACCTCACGCCTGGGTGTCGAACCTTCCGGCCAGCTGCCCGCGTCGCCCTCTGTAGCCTGGACATGTGATCCTTCTCCGGCCTCCTCCCCTGCCCCCCCCCCGTACGCGCCGCAGCCTCGGCCTTCGGCCGCGCCTGGATTTTCACACGGAGGGCGCCTGGTCAGCTGTTGGCTCACTCGCGTGCTTCGCGCGAATCGGGAGCCAGCTGCAGGTAAGATGAAGAAAAATCCGCAACCCCAACCGATGGGGATGAAGGCCGATGCTGCACTTTGCAGCACTGTACCGTGCAGGCCGAAACAGCGATCCCAAGGCACTGTCGAAGCACAGCACTAACTGGGACGGCAATTGCACACGACGCCTGGCTATCGTCGAACACAGGGAAAGGAAGAAGAAGAGGATAAGGACGGAAGACAGGGAGTGGGAGCGACAAGCAATAAAAGCCTGCGCCTGCATAAACCTTCGGGGATCCCTGACGGTGCTGGCACAATTTTGCCTGCACTCGCCCAAGAGTGGCCCAAGATGTTATCAAGACGGCCCAAGAGGGTTGCACGGCCTAAAAGAGGCTCTGGACAGGCCCCAAACGACTCAAGAGGCCACCAAAACGCCAAGAACGCTTGCAGAAGGACGAGCAACGCCCTAAGATGGTCCAAGACGGCACCTAGAGGCCCCCTACGACGCCATGAAAGGTCAGAGTCTCCTGACAGCCCGAGAAGACCCCAAGACTACCCAAGAGCCGTTCCAAAGTCACCGTCGTTGAACTTCCCCAGGGGGTCGGCGGATCCTGCGCAAGCCAGAAGAATCATCACTTTGTCAAAGTGATTGATCTTGAAATTTGACGAACAATCATGATCAGGGCCACACTGCACGCCGGTCGGAAGAAGTGGGTACAAACATGAAGTAGGAAGGCGGATGAAGTAGATTGGGTTCAGGCCTTCCCACAGAATAACAAAACCATAACAAAATCGGATCGATTCTTGAAGTAGGAAGGCGCTTGAAGTAGATTGGGATCTGGGGTTCCAGAAATACCTACTTTCAACGACTGGCGTGTAGTATTGCCCTGGAGCGCATGAGCATATGTGAAGTAGTGTGGGGGATGGCCATGCTAGTATTGCACTAGAAATGCCATGGAGCGCATTGGCAAAAGATAAATGATCAGACAGGATTGCCCTGGAGCGCATGGGTACGAATTCAGTGGATATTGGAAGCATCCTCACACTGTCCAGCCCGAACTGTTGAGGCCTATCCGAGCACGTACGCATCAGAACGACTTCAAACTCGTTGGGCGCACAAGTGCACCAGCACAGGTAAAAACTAAGCCGATACCATGGGCAGTCTTAAACTGTCCCGGCTTGTCGATTCATCGCGAATGCAAAACAACTGCGGCATGCAGATTTTCATCATCTTTTGAATCATTCCCCTCCTCATCCAGATCCAGCTCATGTACCTCATTGAGGCCTGCTGGGCGTGCAGATAACTAAACGATGGTGTTGTCCTCCGCCGTCCGTCGTTCGTGGCGTGGAAAAGGGGACAAACTAACTCGCCCTGGCCAGGCGAATGGCGGCTGTACGCGTGTGTTCGGGCTCGGCTGGTGCCACGCAGTTAAGGCAAGCCAACTTGGCTTTTGTGCTGCAATACCTCCTCTCTTGCGTCTTAGTGCGAAGATCGATGTTTGTCGCGCCGCCGTCTCGTTATCGTGCCCTCTGGGCGCCGAAGATTTATTCCAACCTCAGGTATGTGTTGAGTAGCCGTGGATGTACGCCTTCCTTTGCATGTCAGAGACCCAACACAAAGAAACAGACAAGGACCTGCCGCCTGGCTGTCTCCTTGCATATGCGTCTCCTTGGTTTGCACTGGCTGTACTGTTCTCGTACTGTGCTGCATTATCCGCCTTGTAACTGCGACAAGCAAAAAAAGTTAGCCCGCAACCTTGGCGCCGAAGCCGATGCAACGTCAGGGCATCAGCCCCTGCTTTGTTTGGCGTGCTGAGTGCCGACCTGTCACCTGACCAGCCAGCGGTTGAATCAGATGCGCAATTAGGGGAACGAACAATGACATAAACATCAAAACTCGCAGGTCCGCGCGGACCTCCGAGTTGTTATGTTTATGTCGTCGTTTGTTTCCCTAGCATTACGTTGCTTCCATTACGTAAAGACCAGATCCCAGAAATAATTTCGAGCACCCAGAGAAGTGTCGGAACAGTGTCGAACAAGTATTGCCTCCCAGGGCCCGACTCGTGAAAGCCTTCAAGATTCGGTACTTTTTCTCGGTGCTCGAAAAGCTCTTTCTGGTGATCACAAGGCAGGCTGGAACATCAAAACCCGAGCAGTCCCAAAACCAAAAATCGCCTCGCCCTCACAGCGAGACCTTGTTGGACTGCCTCTGCGGCGGGGCGGGGCCCTGCGCCCCCAGCCTGGCCACTGCCTCGCCCAGCCCCAGGCCCTCCTTCTCCGGGCCGCCCGTGTGCCGCTGGTTCCGCGACCCCGAGCTCCCGAGTTCGCTTAAGGAGGAGGAGGAGGAGCCCCCCGTCCTGGTCTTGATCTAGGGGAACGAACGCTGCCGTGGGCATAAAGACTCGGAGTGCCACGCGGGTTTCTCGGATCCGCGCTGGGCCCTCCTGGCGGCGCCTCCAGCGCCAGGGAGGGGGGTGCGGCGCCGATGCGAGAAGCCCGGCGCGGGACTCCAAGTTTCTATGCCCATGCCATTTATCGTCCCCCTCTGATCTCCATCGCTTCCTTGCGCTGGTTGCGGCGGCGCCTCGTCTTCGAGATGGGCACGAAAGCGGCGGCCTCTGGCAGGGGGGAACCAAAAGAGTGTCCCTGCGGGAGGCGGCACCCAGCCCCCGGAGCTCTCCCCATGGGCCGACGCTCCACCCGAGGCCGTCTTCAGAGGCCTTCCGGCTGGGCATCCGATCAGCTGGGGCCGGAGGCTTGCGGTGCACCGGCGACGTCGGCGGTGCATCGGCGACGCCGGCGAGGAGCACAGCTGGCTCCACATCGAGCCGCATCGCCAATGCACGGCGTGATCCTCCGAGCCCATACCTGCTCGAACCCCACGCCTGGGAGGCCTAGTCTTCGGGGAACCAGGCATCGGGGGCGGCCAAGAGGGGGGTGTCCAAGAGGGGGGTGTGCAAATCATGACCAGCGGCATGTGCGCGGCCCAGCGGGGGGGGCCTGGGACGTAATGGAACAAGAAGAGGCGCCATGAAATCTGGGGAAATACCATGGCCCCCGCCACGACATCCACCCCCCCCTAGCCACCACCCCCCCCTTTTCCGCCCCCGAAGGCAGAGGCCCCTGGGAGGCCTCGTCCCTCCGGGACCCCGTCGCTCCAGGTCCCTCCGGGACCCCGCTCCTCCAAGGCCCTCCAGGGCCCTCTTCTCTCCACGGCTCCGACGGCGCCGCCGAGGCTTCGGCGGGGCGCGCCTCTCCGTCGCGCCCTCCCGCCGTAGGCCCCGCAGCGCACGCGGGCGCCCCGGCGCGGTCGCGCGCGCGCGAGGCCGCTCCCTGCAAGGAGTCGCTCTGCTTCGTCGGGGCGACCACGGACGACACGGACTGGGCCGTGTGGACGCTGGTCATGCTGTCGGTGGAGGCCCCCGGGTCGGAGCTGGGACGCTGGGGCAGCACCACGGGCTCCATCCAGGGGGACTGGCAGTCCAGGAACGTGTTCTTCGTGGTCAGCAGCTCGCTGCTGTCCTCGGCGGCGCGCGCGAGCGGCCCTCCTCCTCCCCACTCCTCCTCCCCACTCCTCCCCACTCCTCCCCACTCCTCCTCCTCCTCCTCCTCCTTCCTCCTCCTCCTCCTCCTCCCTCCTCCTCCTCCTCTCCTCCCTCCTCCTCCTCCTCCTCCTCCTCCTCCTCCTCCTCCTCCTCCCCCTCCTCCTCCTCCTCCTGGGCAAGAGCCACCCCCGGCACGCGGCCCAGCGATGACGGCCTGTGCGCGTTTGGGCGTGGCCCCCCCGCGCCCCGGAGAGGCCGCGCACCGGAGGTCGCTCCAGCGAAGGGCCGCTCTTACGCTATGAGGAAAGACTGGTCTACTCTGTAAGAACGGTTTTTTGAAGGCAGATCTGCCTTCAAAAAATTGGTCTACTCTGTAAGAAAGGTTTTTTGAAGGCAGATCTGCCTTCAAAAGAACGGTTTTTTGAAGGCAGATCTGCCTTCAAAAAACCGTTCTTACAGATCTGCCTTCAAAAAACCGTTCTTACAGAGTAGAACGGTTTTTTGAAGGCAGATCTGCCTTCAAAAAACCGTTCTTACACTGTTCCCATCGTACTCAGGGACCACATCCTGGAAATGATTTCCCGAGCACCCGGAAAGGTGTCGAGGGAGTGTCGACAGGGTGCCGAAGCCGTGTCGGGCGAGCGTCTCCCGGGGTCCGATTCGCGAAGAACCCTCAAGTTTGGGGGCACTGTTCTGGTGCTCGAAATTCTTTTTGGTGATCAAGGCTAAATCGGGGGCGGCCAAGCGGGGTGGCGTCCAAGAGGGGGCGGCGCAACTCATGGCCGGCGGCATGTGCGCGGCCAGTGGGGGGGGGACCAGGGACGTCATGACATAAGAGGCGCCATGAGATCTGGGGAAATAAATACCATGGCCCCCGCCATGATATCCAACCCCCCTAGTCTTAAGTCGGGCGTTTCCCCTACAGGGGGATCTTCTACGAAAAATAAAAAAAAGTACCCCCAAAAACACCCCAAGAGGTCAACACATATTCAAAAAATAGTCCCCAGACCATGTTTTGATGATTTGTTGATTAATTTGAATGTATTTTTTATTTTTCGTCGAAAATCCCCTGTAGGGGGACAGGCCCGACTTAACCCTAGTCATCACCCCCCTCTTTGCCGCCCCCGACTAAAGCAGGCTGGAACATCATAACTCTGACGTGCAGCCGATGTCCACCGAGTGTCTCCCAGGGTCCGATTCGCGAAGAACCCACAAGTTTTGGGGCACTGTTCTGGTGCTCGAAATTCTTTTTGGTGATCAAGGCTAGCGTCCAAGAGGGGGCGGCGCAACTCATGGCCGGCGGCATGTGCGCGGCCAGTGGGGGGGGGACCAGGGGCGTCATGACATAAGAAGAGGCGCCATGAGATCTGGGGAAATACCATGGCCCCCGCCATGATATCCACCCCCCCTAGTCTTAAGTCGGGCGTGTCCCCCTAAAGGGGGATCTTCTACGAAAATTAAAAGTACCCCAAAAAAACTCCAAAAAGGTCAACAAATACTACTGTCTTTGGACTGGTTTGGGGGTATCTTGCATTTTTCCTCGAAAATCCCCATGTAGGGGGACAGGCCGGACTGAACCCCAGTCACCACCCCTCTTCTCGCCGCCCCCGGCCACAGCAGGCCGGAACATCATGACTCCCACGTGCAGCCGACGTCCGCCGAGTGTGTCTCCCAGGGCCCGATACGTGGAAACCCTCGAGCTTGGGGGGCACTTTTCTGGTGCTCGAAATTCTTAGGGGGCAAACAGACCTACCTCGCTTTTGACCACCCTCGCTTCCAAGAGATACCAAGCGATGCCAAATTGCAGCCTGTACTGGTCAGGCCGCTTGACGAGGAGGCGCGTGGTATGGCTTGGTTTTGCCTGGAAGCGAAAGCGGGGTAGGTAATTCACGCTCTGAATTCTTGTTGGCGATCAAGGCTAAAGTAGGCTGGAACATCCTAGCTAACTCTCACGTGTAGCCGTAAGTCGGGCCTGTCCCCTACAGGGGGGGATCGATCCGACGAGTAATCAAGAATACTCTGCAAATACTAAATAGTAACAAAAAATCCAAAAATGGTCTGAGGACTCTTGCTGATGCTTTAACCATTTGGGGGCACTTGTGGGGTATTTTCTATGTTTCGTCGAAAATCCCCCTGTAGAGGGACACGCCCGACTTGACGAACGAACAACGCACACCCATACCCATAGGGGGGTCGCTGGGAGGAAGACTGGCTATGGGTATGGGTGCGGGTTGCCGGACCCCGGGGAACGCTCCCGCTCGAACGGAGACCCCCATCCGACAACACGCGCCCATAGCCCTCTCCGACCCCCCTATGGGCATGGGTTCAGCGGGGCGGAGGAGGAGGAGGAGGAGGAGGAGGAGGAGGAGGAGGAGGAGGAGGAGGAGGAGGAGGAGGGAGGAGGGAGGAGGAGAAAAGGGGAGGAGGGAGGAGGAGGAGGAGGAGGAGGAGGAGGAGGAGGAGGAGGAGGAGGAGGAAGAGAGGGGAGGTGGTGTGTTGTTGCTTCGTCACGACTTGCGTGTCGCCCACGTCCGCCATCACGCGCCGGCCGCCTCCCCCGGCGGGCCGCGGCACCTTGCGGCCGCCGCGCGGGCGCTGGGCGACACCCCGAGATCCGGGCACCGCGGCCTCCCCGAGGCGGCTCTCGGGCGCGTGCGAAGGGGGCCCTGGGACACACAAAATAAATACTCCAGATTTCGTAAGAAAGGGAGGGGGGTCTCATTTCGGGGGGGGGGTCTCTTCCAGGCCATCTTGGAGGGCCTGGGGGGTCTGGGGACGATGTTTTGGAGGGTTCTCCCACGGGGGAGGTCTGAAATGGCTTGTCTTGGAGGGTCCAGACCCCCTCCCTTTTATTACAAAATAAATTCACAAAAAAAAGGATTCCCCCTATTTTTCCATGTTTTCAGGGGTGTGGTCTTCCCCCCCCACTGCCCATAGTTTCCCATAATTACTCTCGGGGGCATCGACGCCTCACTGTGCCTGTGTGTTTTTGTCCCTCCGGAGTGCGCTCGGCCCCGCCTCCGGCCCCGGGACCCCATCGGGGATCGCTCCCCCGCGCGGACGAGCGCCGCAGAAGTCTGAGGCCCAGGTCCGGGCCGTGGTGTTTCACCGGGCCGCTTCTGTGCCGCAGCGTCAGATCTCAGGGGGGATGCGCAGGGGAGGGGCGGCGACGCGGCCCTCCGCCGCCGCTCGCGCCGGCGGCGACGGGGGCGGGCGCTCCGCCCCGAAGCCCGAGCCAGAGCGGCCACAGGAGGAGGAGGGCCCTGCGACCCTCGCATAGGTCTTGAGCATGGGGGCAACCAAAAGATTCCCAATCCCCATCGGGGAAACCTTGGACCCGCTGGCCGGCTTACCCCCCACGGGTGGGGATGGGCGTCGTCCCCCCTTCGTGCTTCGCAGCACCCATTCCCATCCAGGGGGGGCACGCTGCGAGAGCTTGCCTACCTTGTCCAAGTAGGGGCTGGGATTGTTCTGGCGACGATGTGAGGTGCGCGCAGATTGAAGTCTTCGGTACACAAATAATTGGGAGCACTCAGGAGATCATGAAGTAACTCGCCGTTTGGGGGCGTGGCGCTGGGCTGTGTTGCACCCTGCTGGTCGGCTCCAAGATCCGCCACCGCACTTGCACGATAGTGGTGCGTGAAAACGCTTCTCGGTCATCAGGTAGGTTTATGTAGTTTTCCAGGGGCGGTCCTACCACCTGACATCTGCAACGCGTGTTTCGACAGCGGCGGAAATGACGATAAAAGTAGCGATGCTGGTGGCGATGACGGCAAAGCCAATGACGGCGCCGATGCTGGACACGCCGACGACGAAGATGATGTCCATGTGTGGCTGATGAAAGTGTTGGATGGATTTCGACCTGCGCGAGCGGCCGACGCGCGCGAATTGCCCGCGTGGTGTTATTTGGCAGGGACCGTGTCCCTTCAGCAAGCGCGCGAGGGCGTCCGATTGATTCCGAATAGCGGGCGCGAGGAGCCCGCGTGATCTCAGTTGAGAAAACAGTTGAAAGAAAACATGTGTCCCGAAGAAGTCGCAAGGGCGCGCGCGCAATTGGGTTTACACAAAATGTCTGGAAAAGAGTGGGCATTGGTTGCGATAGGTTTTCGTGAACCTCGACCTTGGAAAACTTACGAAACCCAATGTGTTTGAAGGAGTTGGGCATGCCCGCGCGACGACGCAAGCATGCGGCCGATGTCAAAATTGTCGAAAAGGGTTGTGGGTAACTGCTATTTGCTTAGCAACGGATGCGCGCGTATAGTGACATGTCACACAAATCGGGGGCGATAGAAATGACTCCCTTCGGTGGTGGGAACTCGTACGGAAAATTCGGGATGAACCACGTGAGTTTTGTTGTGCAAGCTACGTGGCGCAACTCACCCAGCTGATCTTGAAAATGACGCCTCCACTGCTCGCGCAATCATCCCACCCATCCACCCGTAAATTGGTCGTCAAAACCCATGCGGCGGCGATTGCGGTGACTGTTTGGCGCTGGCTGGCGCGTCGCCGCGGCGGCGCTAGCGCGCGTGCTCGCGCGCAGAGCGGCCAGCTAGATTGGCGCGACAGACGCGGCCGCGGTGGCGCTGACCGATGGGTGCTTCCCAGCGCGTTCCACAAATCGGGATGGCGCGCGGGCACTCCAATGCGGTTCGGTGACTCGGATAGGCGCGGAACCATTGTGGCGTCGACAACGGCGGAAAACGACGGTAATAGTAGCGATGATGGTGGTGATTGACGACGACGACGACGGCGAGGCCAATGACGGCGCCAAAGCTGAACGCGCCGACGACCAAGATGATGTCCAAGTGTAGCTGATGAAGGTGCTGGATGGATTTCGTCCAGCGCGAGCGGCCCACGCGCTTGAGTGGCCCGCGCAATGTTATTTGACAGGGGACGCGCCCCCTCAGCAAGCGCGCGGTGGCGCCCGATGAATTTCGACGACCGGGCGCGGGGGCCCCGCGTGATCTCAGTTTGGAAAAAAGTGTTGAACACACATGTTCCCCGACGAAGTCGCAAGGGCGCGCGCGCAAATGTTTTGAACCATAATGTTCGGAAATGATGTGACATTGGTTGCGCTAGGTTTTCGTGAACCTCAACCTTGGAATCCTCACGACAACTCCGGTGATTGAAGGAGTTGGGCCTGCCCGCGCAACGACGCGAGCGTGCGGGCGATGTGAAACTTGTTGAAAAGGGGTCGTTGGTAATTGCAATTTGCTGAGCAACGAATGCGCGCGCGGAATACCAGTTGACAAACATGAAGGGGGGGCGATAGAAAGACTCCCTGGGGTGGTGGGAACTCATGCGAGACACTTGGGATGAACTATGCACGTTCTGCTTTACCCCAGGTGGCAACGAAAAAAGAAGGGGCGGGCCTAGATTCCTTCAAGGAAAAAACAGATTTGTCGTGCAAACTACGTGGTGCAACTCACCCAGCCGAACTTGAAAATGAAGCTTCCACTGTTCGCCCAATCGGCCCCCCCATCCAATTGGTTTTCAAAACCCGTGCGGCGGCAATAGCGGTGACTGCTCGGCGCCGGCTGGCGCGTCGCCGCGGCGGCGCCAGCGCGCGTGCTCGCGCGCAGAGCGGCAAGCGCGACCGACGCGGCAGCGGTGGCGCTGACTGCTGGGCACTTCCCAGCGGGCAATCCGGTGCGAGCCGGAGACTGGGGCGAACGTGGTATCATAGCAACGTGGATAACGGTAGACGCGATGATGATAGTAGCGATCCCGGTGGTGGTAATGACAACGATGACGGTACTTCCAGTGACGGCGCCGATGCTGATTACGCCGACGACGATGGCGGCGCCCTCGCGTCGGAGACGATGGCTGTGAAAGGAGCTTGACATGCGCGCGCGGCCGACGCGCGAGAGTGGCCCGCACGCTTTTATTTGAAATGAATGCCCCCTTCCGCGAGAGGCCCGTCTGGCATAATAGAATGGACGCGCTGAAGAAAAGAATGGCGTTAAGAATTCGCAGGAGCGCGCGCGCGAGCTTTTTTTGGAGAGCTGGCGTTGCAGAGCCATGTTTTTTTTGGACGCAAACCAGCCCGCCCCCCCCCCCCCCCCCCAAGGGTCATGCACGCGCCAAACTTTGGGCGAAACGCGACGGCGCCGCCAACGCCGCCGCCGCCTGGCGCGCGTGGGCCAGCGGGTCGCGCTTTCGACCGCGCGGCCCCACGCGCTGCGCCCCGCCCGGCGGCGCCGGGCAAGCAAGACCCAGAGTGGGCAGGGCGGGGGAAACAACGACGCCGCCCGCCGCCAGGGTCCACCCCCTGGGCGGTGGCGGCCGCAGAGAACCCCTCCCGCGCGCGAAGCCCCCTGGCGGGGGGGGCTTGAGCCGCTCTCACGAGCAGCGCAGCCATGACGCGCGGCGCCGCGCTGCGCCGCGCTGGCGCCCGCGCAACGACGTCGCCCCCCGTATGCGCCCCGCAACAGCGCAAGCGCCGCGTCGTCGACGCAGACCAGCTCGCACCCCCCATGGGCCACGCGCGCGCCAAATTGTGGGCGAAACGCGACGGCGCCGCCAACGCCGCCGCCGCCAGAAGCGCGTGGGCCAGCGGGTCGCGCGCATAACCGCGCGCGGCCCCGGCGCTCGCGCGACGAGCGGGCCCGCGCGGCGGCAAGCGCATCTCGCGGCCCCGATCGCGCCACCCAGCGCTCCGCGAAAAGCGCGGCGCTTGCGCGGGCACGGCGCGCGCGCCACTCGTCGCATCCGGGCGGCATTGCCCGACCGCTTCGTGGGCGGCGTCGCGCTCGAGGCATTGTTGGTCGAGGTATAGGCGTGGAAAGCCTTGCTCGACCAACCGCCCGACCGGAGGATCTGGCCAGCGATGCCCCCGCACCGCCTGACCAGCTCAGCGCACCCCCGGCGGAAAGACCAGTTGTCGTAGAAGCAGTGGTCGCGGGCGCCCAATGCCAGTAGTTCGCGGCGCAGCGTGCGCATGCACACGTCTGGCCTAATGCCCGCGAACGGGCCTGCCCCCATCTCGGCGGCTTCGAACACGGGCCACATCGCGCGGAGCGCGCACGTCCGAAAGGACCTGTCACACCAGCATTTCCGCTCGGATATCGAGGCGCACTCTTTATTCTTGCGCCGAGGGAAGAACAACACAACAGAGTCACCGTCTTTGCGCAGCGCGATCCTGGTCGGTTCCGGCGCCGGACCCCCGACCAAGCTCAGCCCCTCGGGCGGGGGCCGCAGCCCGAAAGCGAAGCAGACGGTCCAGAGTCTCAGCAAGTCCACCAGGGCATGCCCCCTGTCTGGCAGGGCGTGCATCGTCTCCAGGGACATGCGCGGGCGCGGTTTGTAGATGCCCGGGCAACGCGTAGACACCGCGACCTTTGCCATGGCCAGAAGGGGAGAATCGAACGCAGACGTGTTCAAGCCTAGCGCGACGCAGGCCTTCTTAAGAAACCCGACGTAATTAGTGAACGCGCGCCGGCTGTGGAAAGTCCGAGCATAAGCGCAAAGTGACTCCGCAGTCGGCGGGAAGGCGTCTCCCCGCCGACCCAGCGACTTCTGCGAAAACTTCCACCACCGACGGATTCCCGAACGCCATGCGTTCAGCGATCGAGGAGCGCTCCCGCGGGCAGCCA